AATATCTAAGAATGCAAATTGACAGCCATCTTGAATGAAATAGTCATATCAAACAGATTTGGGAAAAAAAATTAAGAATTGCAATGGCACCTACAGACTCTGTATCACATCGAGACCCTATTCCACGTTCAGTACTTAATATATTTTATAACTCAATAGGAAAATCAACTCTTCAATAACAGTTTACAGACACTGTGCCCAATATCAGCAGCAAAAAATAGAATCTATTCAGAAGAGGATCGTAAGAAAAAAAAAACTAAGATGATAAGGCGGGTTTTAGCAGAGATGCATAAGTTGGACAAAGGCACGAAAAGGATTGCTTCAAGCACCCTCACTTCCATGCTTTGGCTTAGGAAACAAATTGCCTGCATGTTTGGCCGTTCTGTTCAATGTGTTTAAATGCAGGAGGTTTATAGAATGGATGGTTCTGTTGTTGGGGTGATGTCTAGGGCAGGATGACCCTTCTCTTTTAGTGCCTTGGGTGGGTGGTGCTCTTATTGTAAAATACCGCTGAAGCACTTACTTTGTTCAAGCACCCATTATTAAAGTGTCCCATACGTGGGAATTCTGCAAATTATATGTTAAAGGGACACTGACAGGGGATATTTATGCTCGCCAAGGTTTTTATTTGTACATGACATATGAGGGCCAACTACCCAGAACACAATTTGCGGCTCGAAATTCATCCTCTTTCCGCTCGAAAACCACCAATCGAGAACTGGCCGTTTTGAGTCGTGGTTCGTTGAAGGTACACATTCAATATTAAAAATAGAAAACAAGATTTTTTTCTATTTTTTTATTTTAGATTTTGTATGGTCGTCGCGGTACTTGACGTCGTGTGAAACCACAATGTTTGGTGGAGACATTTTGACCCTAAATGTAGCGGGAAAATCTCTCAATAAATTAGCGGGAAAACAGCAGTCTACGCGCAGTAGCGTGCGCCCTGGCTGCATTTCTTTTGCGGGACGCGGCGAGGAAGTTTTTATTGCCTACGAAGCATATCTGCTCGATGCGTCAGTGGCTAAACGCTACTGGCATTTGCCCTTTTGCCGCAGCCTGGCCGGACAGCCTACCGGGGTGCGCCCGGTGGACCGTCTGGACTGCACTCTTCCGGCGCAGCAGAACGGACAGCGCCTGGCGCAGAGTCTGGCACTGTGGCGGTGTCGCCAGCGCCGCCGCCACGCCGTCTGCGGGCAAGTGTACGCCTCGGAGAGGTAGCCTTGGCCTTGGCCCATCTTTCTTAAGCCTGCTTTGCCAAGCACCCTTGGTCTCCCATTGTTGACGGCAGAAGTCGTTGCCCCGCTTCCAGCGTGAGGCCGTCTCATGAACCCAGAGCGCAGGCACTTGCCGCCGCAGCGCACTATATAGCGTTCCTGGGGGTCCAAAGCGAATGAAAAGAACGCTCTAACAAAAAACAGAAAAGGCCCTATGGCATTGCTCGAGACCTCCGATGCAGATTGGCTCAGGGATCTCGGAATTGCCTCCAAGTGGGTCAGGGGGTTTCCGACTGCCAAAAGCCCGAGAAGGGCCGTCGCAAGGCTCAAAGCGCATGCTTCAGGCTCTCACTCTGTCCGTGACTGTAGATAAACTCTTCTGATCAGTCCCGCTTTGATAATTATCGAGCTATATCTGCCACATTTGAAAATGCAGTACAAATGTATAGGAATGTGGGCAGCGGTGACAATAGCCTTCAAGGTTATTCGATTAAGGAAACTCCTTCCTTAATCGGATAATTTGGAATTAGAAATCCAGAACTACAGTGGAGATTAAAAAAAAAAAAAGTTGAGTGTTTTTTTTTGTTTTTTATATATATGTATATAAATCTGAATTTGCAATATTTTTACTTGCAGGCATTTTTCGGATTTGATCACATTTATCCGGAAACTCAGAACCGTAGTTATAACCCAACAAACTTGTTTTTAGTTGAGTGTTTACTGAGTGCTGTTTCAAAATTTGATGGGGTGTGAAAATACCTTTGTTAGTTTTTGTCATCAGTGTGACTGCTCTGTGTGAGCTACTACTTTGAGGTTTTTGAATGGTTTTGAAGGGATTTTACTGTATGTACTGTGTAATTGTGCCATACTACAGTGTGCATATTTGGTTTGAGTGTGTATGTGTGTGTGTGTGTGTTTTTTTTTTCTTTTTCAAGTACTTCGCTCTCAAAAGAGTACCTCAAGGGTTGGAGCCAAAATGGCGGTGTGGCCCCTTCTCCCTGACTCCACAGTCAGCTAAAGGATCAGGTTGCCTTTTTGAAAGTTCATTAAGCATGTCAGTTCCTTTTGTTTGTATAACCTTTATAACTTCTCCATCTATCTCAAATTTCATAATGTCCTTCATATAAATGTTATAACATCTTCTTTTGTATAAAATCAAAGAAAATATTTCATCCGCATAAGATCTCTTTATTCATATAATTTTCCTTCATAATGTTCTTCATCAAGTTTTATGTAAAATTTCTATTTATATAAAATTTCATAACGTTGTTTAATAATATAAAATGTGCAACATCTTAATTCGTGTAAATTTCATAATGCCCTTCATCCTCTAAATTTTTTACATTTTCGTTCCTAAAAAATTACGGGTCTTTTATTCGCATCAATTTTTTGAGTTCTCTTACATTTGACAGCTGGTCATGAATCATGACCACCTGCTATCTTTTGTTGGCTATCTGCAAGTGCAGTGTGTGCTAAGCCTAAAGTCTAGCCAAACCAAATGTAGCACTAACTGGGGTTTCAAAACAGCTTCATCATCAGTAATAAGAGAAAACCTGTTCGATTCCAGTAAAGGTTTTTGCATGAACACAAAAACCTTAACAAATTTGTCAAGATTGTTATAAACCTGGGCTATCCTTAATTGTTTGTTTGTTTCAGGCTGGATGATTGTCATCTGTGGCCTCACACTGGGCCACTAAAGTGGGGATATTTTGCTTTCAAACTCGAGATGTGGAACAGCTTTCTTGGAGCCATTTTTGTTTGTTTCTTCCAAATGTCGAGCCACCTCCTATCGACTAAACTGAAGAGCTTCTTCCTGTGTGCCTCCCCAGGTGCTTAAAAAGCCTAAAGCCATGTGGAGCACTTTAGTTATCTGTCATAATGAAGCACCGAAGGTGCCTACACCTTGGTGGGGAGCACAGGCTTTGAAAAGCTGATTAATATTTTCACCACATTTTTTTTTTTTTTTTTTTTCATTGAATACATACTTTGTCATCACTAGCTCGCATGAAATGTGGCACTCAGTCTTGGACTTCGTGCCGCGTATTTTTTGGTGGGGTCTCCGCATGACTCATTGAAACCGTTATCAGGAAAAGATAACGGTTCTTTTCGTACGTGTGGAGAGAAGCCAGGTCCTGTACTCGCGCGCTGCAAATAATTATTTGGACATTTATTACTCCAGTTATAATTGTAGCTAGCTTTCAATATATATCTACAAACAGATTGGATGGCACGAAATGCAAAGTACAGTAGCATCGTTCCCTCGGTAATAGCTCGTTTCGTGTTCGAAAGTAACGAAACCCGGGCCAGCTTGCAACTGTCGCCGATTGCGTCCGCTCTGCATGGGGCAAGGAAATGGCGGCACCCGCGACAAAGTCTATAGTCCGTTGCAACCTAAGAACGAAGGGCGAGGGTAAGACGGGCCGGGGAGGAGGAAGCAGACGGAACGCTAAAGAGAGAAGGAGGTTTGCCCCTCTCTTCTCCAGCGTTCCGTCTGCTTCCTCCTTCCCGGCTCCTCTTACCCTCCCCTTCGTTCTTAGGTTGCAACAGACTATAGGAGTGGAGAGACGATAGTCTAAGCGTGGCTCATTTAGTGTCCCTAGCACTGTGCAGGGCCCGGCCCTCACGTTTGCATTCGAGCGTGGTTGGCCGTTGCAATCGCCCGTGACCGCATACGACAAGAGCGCCGTCTGTTCGGTAGCCCCATAAAACGATCGTTCTTTCACCTGAAAGTACTTCCGACGGCATTGTAAGACTATTTCTCGTCGACAACGCGTCAATTCAATGAAACGTCGCAAAAGCTAGTCCTACGCAGACCGGAAACGTGGCGGGGCTACACGATGGATGGCGCCAGTGTGTTTTCTGGACGGTAGAGAGTTGCGGAGAGTTTCCAACCGCTGGATTGGGGTCATGCGATGGATGGGTTGTGTCTGCAAGAATAATTCCGAAAGCGCCGACCGTCTGCAAATGCATCGCCACACGAAAGCGCAGCGCACATGCTCCTGAGACTTATTTCTGTGGGAGGCATCCACCATTAAATTGCAAATGCTTCCCACGGTGTGAGGTGGACCCTCTCTTTGGTTTAGGCTCTCTACTCCATGCTGGAGAGATTCGAGAGAGGGAGCAACTGAAACCATAGAGAGAATTTGCAATTTAACGGCGTACACCACCCCCGCGAATTAGGTGCGTTGGAGTGTGGCAAACAAGACGTTGAGTGGAGAGGATGAGCAAAAGGTGGAGACGCTTGCAGACGACGATGCCTTTTCCTCGTACCTCGCGTCGCGAATGCGACTGTGAAACGTGCGACCCCGACGGAGCAGTTGGAGACCCTCAAATCTAGACGCACCAATGTTTTCTCGTTGTAAGCGGTTGCGTCGCAGTTGATCTTGCTCAAACACAAACGTGAGAACCAGCCCTAACTTGGCCGTAAATTTCCGACACCCGTGCAAACTCGTAAAGAACTTTTCAGAATACCTCGTACGTCTGTGCCGCATTTATGCCCCACGGGGAAATATGTTTCGGGGAAAACGTGCACGTTTCTCGAGAAACGTTACCGTTTCGATGCACGTTCTCGGCGAGGACACGAACCATGCAAAACGACGCGACTCTTCCCGTAGCTGTTGCCTGGTCCCCTCCGTCGTTTTTGGGAGGTCGGGGTCCGTGAACAAAGGCAGAGCCCTTGACCGCGACTGGCCGCGAGTCGGCTTGCAGACACCGTCGATCTACGACGGCGGTGCAAAAGCTCCGCAGGGAAGGCGTTTTGTACGATCGGAGGGTCCCTCTGCGCAGGGGCGGTCGGGGCTCGCGGCACTACACTTCGCGTGGCCTGCACATTGGGTCGAACAGCGACTCCTGCGACTGCCTGATGGTGGGCTGCCCCGGCTGCCACTTCCCCTGCCCCAAGTGCGGGTCGGCCAAGTGCGGGGACGAGTGCCGCTCCAACCGCAGCTATGTCTACGAGCACCTTGAGCTGGACGGCCACAACGGACTCATTCAGAATCCCCTGCTGGGATGAAGGCCTTCTTTTTTTTTTCTTTTGAAGAATTTAAATGCTTTAATTTTTTGGAAGCAGGATAAATGCTGTTGTGAAAGTTCCTTGTTTTAAACAACAACCCCCCAACGGGCTGAAGGGAACCCAACTGCCTCCTTTGTCACTATGATGATGAGTCGCCATCCTGATAATTTTTTTTCCTCAAGCTCGTGGATAGATTGGGACGGGGGTGGCTCTACGAAGGCGGGATAAATGATCTTGATAAGTAGTTTTCTGTCGACTTCGGAGCAAGTAGGGGTTTGTCACCTGTTTGTTTTTCTGTAGATAACGGTCGGGCTGGAGCGCGATCAACTGCTCTTGGGTAGTGTGCCCCGTGCGTGCGAGGAAAATGACGTAGAATTAATTTGTTTCTACTTCACAAATTCACCTCACTGTGGCAGATGATGGTGTATTTTGTTCCTTTGAACTGTCTCTGAAATGTTTTTTAACGATTTTGTTTCACTGTGCGACCAGCCATCTTTGTGCAGAGCACCTTTTAATCGGACTTTATTCAAAGTTGCATTTGTGCACCTATTTTTGAGCAGTCTCCTTGTGTTTTGAAGTTTTGTACTGTGCCATAGTGCCTGCGCAGTCGCTCGGGGAAAATCGATTATTAACTCGGGATCGAGATTACGGCAAGCCTCCTTGGAACCACCGAAGGTTTGGCAAGCTAGGCTACCACCGGGATGCCAAAGTCCAAAGCAATGCACACGGAGAAACGCGTTCGACAAAATGTCGAAAGATGCGTCGATTAAAGCAGTGCGAACACCTCTCGATGAAACAAACTGTGAATAAAACGTCGTGTAACGAACTGATTGCCACCAGTCTGGGGAACGTCGTGGGAACGAAGGTGTAGCATCCGAAAATGTTAGCTTATGTGCAAGTGCCAGCACAACCAAAGCTGTGCCCAAACCTGAGCTCTTGGCTTTCTGCCTCGGATAATAGTACGGAATCTCACAAGCACATAATCAAAGCACGACGAAAGGCAATATGCGCGCACAAGGCAGAGCTTTTATGGCATTTTTAATGTTGCTACCCACTAATGAGATCAAATATATCACTTTCACTGTTTATTAATTATACCTGTTTTCACCAAGAATTGTAGTGAAACAAGTTCGGCTCCTTGCAGAGCGTTACTAAAATACCACTTTATGTTGATAACTAAGATATGCTATGTAGGTGAATTCTAGATTAGATATATGTTATCTTATCAAGACTTATAGGTTCCAAATGCCAAAAGCATAGCTTTTTCCTTGGACAACCAAATCTCGTAGGAACTACTTTGCAGTGCGTATGAACAATGCACAAAACTTCCTTTTTCTTGAGGTGAAAATGGGTATAGAAAGGGGCACAATAAACTGGTAGTTTGGAAATATTGAAAGGAGTTTTACAGATTTGTTTTATTTATTTCGTTAAGTAACTGAGCAATATAATGTGAAAGTAACTTGTATAACAAGTAAAGTATTTTAATATTTTTATGCTGTAATTAATATCTAATTCATCACATTGAACGCCGAGTAATTTGTACTTGTAATTCATTACATTCTCGAAGTAACGGGCATAAATCTTGAAGGAATACTGAATCAAAACTTAAAATATACACAAAACATAAAAGAACAAGTCGGAGGATTGGTTAAACCTGCAAATAATAATTGCATGGTAGTATTTTAAGCGGATAGCTATATTTGTCATCCTAAATGCCGGGAGTTTGGCGAGAGCTTCCAGATGAGCCATCGAAGAGAGTGATGCATCTCGGGAGATCTGGCGCAGCCTTGGCGTCGTGTCGTGCAAAGACAAGCATGCCGTTGTTTTGAGCTTTGCCATTTGTCGGCGTCGACGCATTACAATTTCATTTAGTCAAAGTAGCCGAGGGCCGTAGCATATTGCGGAGCCGGCGGAGCTGCCTCGTGTGCACGAGTGCCGACCAACGCAATGAGAGGAGTGCCGATTAACGCAATGAGAGCAGTGGGTACAATGACATTGATGAAGGCAAGGACATTACCAGTGGCCATGATGTCCGAAATGCGATTGCCTAGAGCTTCACTATGCCTGTCGATAGGGAACACGTGCCGTAGGAAGGAGCCAGGCAAATGGGGCTGGTCGTTTCTGGCGCTTGTAATGCGGCTATGCGGTGGCAATGGACCCTAAGACCCCAGAAAGGTTCAGCCGAACCCTTACTGGGTCCCGTTCCACATACCAGATGACACAAAGTCGCCCACAAAACGTGGCGGGCTCGGGGCTTCCAAGAAGCTCTGCACATCTCCTGCGAGTTTGTCGCTAGTGCAGGAAGGCAAGTTCCCTCGATGCATTGCGGCAGCGGTGGCGCAGCCCAACTGGCTGCTGAGATCACGATTCTATATATGACAATTTGCATAGAAATAGAGCAGCCAGTTTTGTATTACCAAATGTTAATTTTGTGATAAAAAAATACCGTGAACCGTTCCTAACCGGTTACCGTTGTATTTCTTTTCCGGTTCAGTCCCAAGATGGTGGCAAAGATTTCGGTTTGGTTCAGTTCCAGTTTGGCTAAAAATAACTGTTCCGGTTTTTGGCTCGTTTCGGTCCTGGTTTAACACCCTGGTATGAAATAGCCGAGCCAACAGATTTTTCCACCCACTCCAAAAATAAGTAGTCCACTTGGGCTAGCCCAACCTGGCATTGAGCTCAAGCAGTGTTGCCTAAGTCGCATTGGTCTCGCTGACTATCCGATTTCAAACGTTTCCGCTTCGCCAGCTTTGGTCTGTTGGCGTCCAAATAGCGCAAAATCTACCGGCTCAGAAAAAAGTTTAGGACATACTGTTGAGACTGGTTATAACAAAGTCGGTTATAACGAAATATCGGATATAGCGAAGTGGTTTTCGATTCCCGTCGACTTCGTTATAACCAGTCTTGACAGTAGCACTTGAACAACAGTTTCCGGGAGCATTTTTACTCTAGCTTTTCTTTGTATAACTAGGCTTCAACAAAATCGTGCAATACCGAGATGATGCGAACAAAGATGTATCTGTGGGCCTAATAATTTGTGAAATCGCCAGCATGCTTTTTGTTCGAACATTTTGAAATGAGAAGTCGTCGTGTAAAATGTGAAAATACACTTGCCTGGTACGTTCCTTACAATAGTATTTAATTCCTAATATTCGTGAAACTTGACATTGCAAAAATGAATAGTTTGCAATATAGTTCCCTTGTCAATTACTGACAAGTGTAAGGAAGCTGAATACAATGTGCTTGATATTGATTGGTGTTTGACGAATGCTGATCTAGTAGTAATTAAAACTACAGGAAGAAAAATTTATTGCAGTCCACTAAACCAACCACTAAATAACAAAGCCAGACTGAAACGGTGCGAAAATTAGGCAATATTGGCATTTTCAGAGATAGCATTTATAGAAATAAAAGTTTTAAAACTCTAAGGGTAGGATTTAAGGTGTCTACCTGACAAGAATGTTGACATATCCCCAAGTAAAAAAAAATTATTTTGAAGTCGGAAACTACTGAATTGTGTAAAGGGCCAACCAGTTTAAAAAAATTGCACCGGAACAGAGGCACTGCAGACATTCATAAGGTGGCAACTGCAATTAAGTACAAAACTGATGAAACTCTCCGACGGAGTTGCTTCTCCTGCTGCAGTCCTTGGCTAAAAGAGCATTTGTCATGCAATGAGGGTCACAGTGAAACTAAAGAAGTCTCCCACACAAGCCTTCTCCACAGGAAACGGGGGACACAAATGTTTTTACCCCTCTGCATGGCCCTTTACATGGCTTTCCTACGTTAACATTATTCTAGCAGCTTTCATAGCAGCTTGTGTTTGTGAATCCCGTTTCAACAGGGTGAAACTGCAATCAATTGGTCTCCGACGCACGCTGCATCGGTACGGTTTTTTCGCCGAATGAACACTATGTATGAATCCTCCTGTAACGAAGCAAGCCAAGAGCACGTGCCTTCGGACAAGCCTCACTTTTCAATGGCGTTACAAAATTCTGTAAGTGGTCCTTCCGGGAAAACGCTCCCTGGCAGACATTTAAAGGGCTTCTTTCCAGTTTGTCCTTTCGTGCCGGGCATCAATTGAAAGGAGAGAAGCGGCCGCATATCCTAGTGTAACTGTGGCTGCTCCCACCCAAGTTGCTGTTCAGGGCAGGGAACCCTCTGTCCTTGAGGCTCTCCTGACTCTCCCAAGAGTTGGCCAGCACTATTGGAGAGGCATAATAGACGAGAGCTAGTCCAACTATACAGGTTTTTCTAGTCTCCAACGCCAGCCGACGGATCGCGACAACACACCAACAGGACATACAATCTGTTTTCCTCGTTTTGCATTTATTTTTTTTTAAATGTGTTAGCATTTATTGGCCTGGTGCATGCAGCAGTCTTTGCTTTGCACTGGACTGGTTTCGTGGGTCCCGCCGTGCTTTTTCGCTCCGGTGGATGACAGTATGCGGACCATTGCGAGGTTGCAATTCCCATCCTTCGCCGAATCAAAACCCTTGCACTAAATGCTAACGCAATTCGTCGAGACTCGGCGTAACGACAGCAGCGATTTTTGGCATCTTTCTTTTTTAGTGTTTTATTGGCAAGAATAAGAGTATTGCCACAAAAAAAAGTGCATCGCATCTGGCTCGGAACGTCTGCTGTCGCCGAGGTTGAACAAGGTGCCCGTTGTGGCTGCCTGCAATCTTGCGTGCTGCCATTTGTTGGCTATTGCACCGGTCAAACGCCTTTCATTAGCAGAAGGACCTTAGGTAGGGATTTCAACTTCTTGTTTCTTCAGTGCAATTTCAATACACAAGGTCCTCCACCATCGGGCACCTCTGCGGCAAACCCGAGCATGATGCACCAAGAGATTGATTTATGCAGTTCCCTCAAACAGCCAATTATATTTCTGACACGTGGTACAGTTCATTTTACGACACTCTTTTTAATAATAAGTTTATTCACAAATAAAGCCTTCATACGTTTTAATCAGTCTCACAAAAACACTTGCGTGCTTGTGCACGAGTACACAGTCCAGCACAAATTTAACAAATCGAAAGTATTGACCTTACACAAAACCGAATGGATACTACTGATAAAATTCCTAGTTAGGTAGAAGTAAGCATTAAACAAAATT